TTAAAAATATGCTTTTCATTATACTTGAATAAAGTTAGCGCAACAATAATCCAACTCTTAACAACAGTTCCACAACTTCATTATACAACTATAAAATAGCGTCCAAAACTGTAATAACAATGTATTATATATATGCAGAGAAAAATACTTTTTACCAAATATGGAACATTTTCATTTCATTTACAACCAGCTTTCGTTTAGTTTCAGCAGAGCCCAAGTCTTTGTCCTTTCCTTTCACTATTCTTCAATTGTATGATGTCGGTCTACTTTGTCCGACGTTGATAAACTGACAGTTGACATGTGCTACGTCCGTCCAAAACTGGAACGACGGCCGTCTTCAAGTACTTTCTAGTTATAATTGTGTACCAGTTACGTTGGTAATCGAACTTCAATGTGATCCCACTGTTAAGTCGGAAGTCAGTTAATAATCTGATGACGTCATAATTGAATAAAAGTAAATTACACATTTTTGCAATTGATGGTCGTCTAGTTAATATGCACTTCTTAAAATTCGTCAAACACTAAACGTTTTGACGCAAACAGTAACAAAAGGTTAGGACCATATGTCTATTCAGACTCTGCTGAAACTAACACGGCAGCTGGTTGTAAATGAAGTGAAAAAGTTCTCTATTTGGTAAAAAGTATTTTTCTCTGAATGTATAAAAATTTACTGTTTTGGCGTCCATGTAACAAAAAATACAAACCAGGTTAAGAGACACGATATTATTACTTTATTTCTTCATGCACGAATTAATTGCATTTAAATTTTCAAATGAAATTTTTCAAACATGCATGTGTGAAAAATTCATTCAACAGACATTTAAAAACCTATAGCAGTAGGTACATCATGAATATTTTTGACACATGCTATAACTGTCATTATGTTTACTGTATTATTTTATCGAAGTTATTTATTGTTGCTTGCGGAAGTTAAATAAAATACTGTTTACGTTAAAATAATGAATCACTGATCTGCATAAAACTATAAGAACCTTTCTCAGATCAATAGCGCGGAGAAACTTGGATATTGGTTTGAAGTTATCTTGCGAGGAAATCGTTGCTACCGAAACCTCAATAAAATCAGTCAGTCGCCGCCGTTCTCGAGCATTACTTTGCAGATGACCGCACAGGGACGGGTGTTTATTGCGCTGTTAGTCACAGTCCAATTTTTATTGGCTGCTTTAACTTCCTCTGGGGAACCCGAAGTGTGAGGGGTCACGTTTGGCGACGCCCAAGCTTTTATGGCGCGTTCTGCGCCGAATTTGTGATCTGGCGCCCGGGCTCATTCAATTCACGCCGCGGATCCGCCTCAGCTGCCGGGCTCAGTGCGAGCCAAATCACTTCGGAGGGCTGCGTTGGAGATCACCTGCACGGACCAAAATAGGCTCTCAATTTACGGCTCATTCACAATAAAGTAGTAAAGGTAGACATGAACTCAGAAATATGCCCTTAAATTTTAATATGAACGAAGCATTCACACATTCACATGAAATCTGCTATTTATGTTGTACAGTAGGATGACTATGTTTCCTTATGTAATGACTGAATGTAATGCATGTAGTGATTGAAACTAACCGACATAATTGGTATTAACACAATTAGAAGTTATGTGTAAAGTTTATGATACTCCATTGTGTTATTACTTCACACTCGTTTAATAATACATATCATTACATTATCGTTTCATGATATACTATTGTAAAAGTAGGTGTATATAAATTTACTCCACATCATTGAAACAGTGTGGATTTCAGTTCCAAAATGAAAAGATAAAGAGGATGAAGACTTACCATTTTATTACGGTCAATTTGATTTTGAAAGTGTCGAAAATATGTCCTATTTCCTTATGTATTTCATAAAAGCAGAGATATTTGCGTTTGGGATTGTTTAGAATTTTGTCTAAGAAAAAGTATGAAACATTTATTTTTGATCATTGTGATATTAAATGGAATGACATCATTATGTTAAAATACTATCCTTGCATGTATCAATATTAACAATTTTAAACAAATAAATACCAATGCTAAAATTCGTAATTATAATTCTTAACTATATTTTTTTCCATACTACTCGTATTTTAATGTGCATTTCTCTTTAAAATATGTTATTGTTTAATACATTTTTGATTCGTCAAATGTTTAAAAAGACATTTTGTCTCAATGTGATCTTGATTACAAGATTAAAATGTTTTTTCGTTTAGTTAACTAAATATGCTTATAAATTCCATGAACAATCGTTGATTATCACTGTGTTTATAGCTTCCGTGCAATTAAAACTTAATCGTGCAATTAAAAGCCTACAACAGCCAATCAGAACCCATGGAACTAATTCAAATCATTTAATTATATGTCAATAATACAAACGTTTTCAGACGACCATGAAACATGAACACAAATGTACATCACATATTACTTACATCAAACACATATAATAAGTATGAAACAAAATTATAAACGAATACTTATTACTACTGCTTAGACAATCATGTTAATATTGGTAGTATAAGAAGTTAAATTATAAACTGTTACCCTACTCATATCCTGATTGACATCAATTATCCTACACCAGAAGTCGCTTTATATTGCACAGTTATGTTTACTTCACCTACTTGAACGTGACGCCCACAGAGTTACCAGTGAGACCAGTTGTGTTTGCAACACTCCTTAATTAGATTGTAAAATCAAGTATGTTATTTATAATTTAAAATGTCTGCATTCTCCTTTACATGCCATGTCTTCAACATAAACAAGTATGACCATAAGCGTGTTGGTTTGTCACTAGCTGACTAACAACATAAAACATCTAACATTAATAAATGTGTTACATGTAAAACATTTGGTCTTAGCATATTACAAATATAAAATATGTAGTCGACAGTTGTATTTAACCGCTCTTGAAAGTACTCCAGAAAAACGTCTTGAGTCAGAACTAAATCGTCTTTCTCCTTTCCAACATTAAGTCGTGCTGTTCTCTCGTACATGCCCTTCCTTGACGTACGAAGTAATGCTTTCATGGCTTTGTCCGCTTCTTCTAATATTTCAACTAGGATAATTGAATATTTTTCATTTTCAAATGTAATTACCGAAGAATTATTCTCTAAGACATCAAGGTGATCATAAATATACACTGCAAGACCTACTAAAACAGGTGTTGTTCAAACCCAATATGACGTGATCAAATAGATACCACTAATGGTAAGGATAAGATTGAATTTATCAAAATTAAAATTATTATTTAATGGAAACGAAAAAAATATTGAACGTAACATGTGTATGAAGAGATATATTCGCACTCATGGTTAATAAGAAAACTCATCCCTATCGTTGCTAGTTTTCTTGAACATCCCATTCATGCAATTATATGCCTCTTTTTACACTCGTTTATTTAATTTCTACAATTTCACTGATACCTTTTGTTTTAGAATTTTATACAAAATACATTTTGAACAACAATTTTAACCTAATAATTTACTAAACCAAATAAATAACTATCCTACAAATTTTAGTATGCCAGTAAACAGAACTAGTAAATATTATTTCAAGTTAGTTTTGTATAATGCAATGCCCCTCTCCCCGTTATTTGACAGCACTGGGAGACAAGTGAGGAAAATAGTCTAAGTGAAGTAATGCGAAAACGGTGTCGCTGAGTCTCTGGGGTTGCCTGTGTGCTATGGGAATCTGACGCGTCTGATAAGTTTGTTTTGCGCTCAGTTGTCAGCAACTTTCTTGCTACGGATAGTTTTCTGCCGTCAGCGGCAAGTTTGAACGGAAATTCGCGGAGGGAAAACGGGAACATTGCCTCTGGAGAAAAAATGAGACCAAACCTGTCGTCGGAGTAGTTTTAAGGATGGTGTTTACTGATAACAGATGCATGGGGGAAAATAACGCATTTGGTCTCAAACACATTCAAAGGTTTAGAAATTCTATCAAGAAAAATTTACTACTCACATCGCTTTCTCTAAAAAGTAGGCTAAGAAAGTATACAAACTCTGTAGATTTTTTATTTCTTATCACTACTCAGAGGGAAAAAGAAAAAAACAGGTTAAAAACTATGTATTTCAATTTTAACACACTGATCTTTGTAAGAGAGCATTTCGACCCTTTGAGATTTCTCTCGTTCCTTTACTTCTGAATTTCACCTAAGTTTTTATTTGATTTTATTTGCTTGGTAGTCCAGATTTAGTAGCTGTCGTTTATTCACTCAATATTTACTTATCCTTTCAATCTAATGTTACAAATGTGTCCTAATAGGGTAGGTTAGGAACTTATTATATGGCAATTTTTCAAATTTTTAATCAAACAGTATGGCGAATGCTACGTACTGAACCCTCAAGACAAACTCGAATGCATTGTTGCCAAAAGATAGCTTGAAACTAGTAACTACATCACTACGATCCGGATCCATCACATATTTATTTTACTGCAAATTAAGAATTTGATTACTTTGATTATTTGTCCCACTTAAAAATTAAGAAACTTCACAAAGCAACAACAAAATAATGTAACTTGATGCTTTACAGACAACTACTGTGACAAATAGGAATACGCGTCACCTTTATTCCTGGTAGCGCCTCTTTCCAGATCTTGAGATTTGTAGGCGATATTAGAAACATGAGCAAATATTTGGGCACATTACATTTTGTCGAAAATTGATACAAGTTCAATTAAGATTTTTTCCCTCACGTTCGAGATGAGTCAGAAACAATTTATTCTTCTATTGTTATATGATTGTTCAAAGTAACACGTGGTTAGTTGTCAAAACCACTCTACCAGAATCAACATACATTCCTTACATGTAATCCAAACTCGCAGTCCTCGGCTCCGTGTCTTTTAATGTTTCTCGAATTTCATGCGTTTCTGGAGCAGGCATTCCTTCGCAGAATAATTACTAAAATCTGAATATTTTCTTTCGAACACAACGTTGAATTCACTCACAAGCTAGAGTAAATCGCTTGTCGAACACAAAGCTAAGGGCATCGCGCGTGTTGTGGTGTGTTGCAGCGACGGCTGGGCGGACCGCGCCGACGTGACGGACGGGCTGGAGGCCGAGGCGCAAGGCAGCGTGTCCATCCGCATCCACTCGCCAGACGAGACCTCCTTCGACGAGTACTACACGCGCCTCTCGCCCTTCAACAACACGCGCAACCCTTGGTTCCGCGAGTTCTGGCAGTGGCGCTTCAACTGCGTCATGCCCACCGAGACGGCCAACGCCAGCGACGGCCACCCGGGCGCCGGGCCCGGGGCCGGAGCAGGGGCAGGGGCCGGCGCAGCGGCGGGGGCTGCAGCCAGCGCGGGCGCGGGCGCGCGCGCGGGCGATGGTGCTGGCGACGCGCCGGTGCGACTCTGCACGGGTAAGTGGCGGCGCGAACATAATCACATATGATTAGATCGCGTTAGATCAGACCGGACTACATTACATCATATTTAAAAACATCATGTTGAATAACATCACATTGAATAATATCACGTAGGATAACATCGCGTAAGACAACATCACGTTAGACAACATCGCGTTAGACAACATCGCGTTAGACAACATCGCGTTAGACAACATCGCGTTAGGCAACGCCGCGTTAGACGTGGCGTTCGACAACGTCGCGTTAGACAACGTCGCGTTAGACGACGTCGCGTTAGACGACGTCGCGTTAGCCGACGTCGCGTTAGCCGACGTCGCGTTAGCCGACGTCGCGTTAGCCGACGTCGCGTTAGATCACATCACAGTATCCCTAAAATACAGGAATGCATTTTTTAAAATATTTTTATATTTATGCATTTTTTGAATATAACTTATTAGCAATGGTCTTAATTTTGTTAATTTATCATGAATTAAAGCTCAGAATATTTTAACTAGTTTTTCGAAAAATCCACCATCCATTTCAGCGAATGTTATGCACAGAGAACACTTGAGTTGCGCCAGCAGATTGCATGAGCGAACATACATTGGTTTTGAATGAACCCGTTGCGTTCCGCCGCCGAAGACAGGATCGTAGCAGGTCGAGGGCAGACAAGGTGTTAATGAACTGATAAAACATACAGTGGAAAGGACCAAGAAGAAATAAAACTACACTACCCAATTGTTCTCTCATGCATAGTGTAATTGCGCCTCAAGCGCAGTGGAAAGTGCCGTTCGATTGAGTGGACACAATGCCCCAATTAGTTAGATCAGATTTCATTAGATCACGTCAGATCCGATCAAGTCAGATCAGAACACATCAGATCAGATTGGGACATTAGACCGCATGTCACAACAGTTGGGAATTTGCATCAAAATGGACTGAATCGGTTCAGGTTAGGAGTACTCATGTGAGTTGGAATGGTAATGATCTGAATTGGGTTGTCTTCAGTAAAATAGAAATGCCTGGAAAGTTGAGAAATTAGTTAAATTAGATAATATGGAATAAAATGTCGATAACAGACCCGTGTAGCGGGCATTTAGAGGTTATGCCTATTTACTGTTGTTCCCAAAGAAAAGAAACATTCGTTTATTATTCATCTGAAATAATTTAATAATGCACACGGGGAATATTTGGAGGCTTTAATTGACACTATTGGACTCAATAACAAAGAATCAGCCAGAGGTTTTGGGTTTACATTCGAAAGTTGACTGATACAATGTAGTTATGTTTCCTATTTACATGTGTCACGTTTTTATATCCGGAGGCTCTTAATGCGTTTCTGAAGTTCGTAAAAGGTCTTTAAAACGCTGACTAATAGGAAATGGCAATTGTGCGACACATACTGATCTCCATGGAACATTCTTCAATGTTCTGTGATATTTTAATTATAAGATAGTGATACAGCGCCCTGTAACCATTAGGCATCAGAAATATGGAAATAGATCTAGGCGTTTTAAATTGAATTATGAGCCACGTAAAAGCTTGATTATCTCCCAAAAAATAATATAACTACAAACACAAGTAGCTGATAGGGGGACGTGATAATCGACTGTATCATACAACCACAAGAAGGTTCGAACACGGTTGCCGGAAATTACTTTTGTATTGAGCATCAGCGAGTTTGAGGTAACTTCCAAGCCCGAGTACGTTCGTCATCTGTGGTCATCCTTGCGTCATGCTTGCATTCTTTAAAAATTAGTTAATGGATTATATAATATATACAATTATTCCCTTATTCAAAGAAAAACCTAACAAAGAAGCGTTTTATATTCTTAAAATCACTGAACTCTCTGAAGAATGATCCAGTCGTATCTTCTTTAACATTTCTTCGTGTCCTCATTGTTGGATATACTCAACCACTTCCACTGCCCTTGCGCCAAATTTTTGACTGACGTTGTGACCCCTCCTCAACTACTAGCTATCGCCATTTCTTTCAACTGTCTCTGTTTCTTTATCTGCCAGTGTTTATGCCCTGACTTCTAGGACTACAAATACACATTTCAAAAGTATGTTCCAATGACCTTTTATTAGGTAATATTAAAAACGTCCCAAAGCACGCTAGTCGAATCCCCAATTGACGTAAATGACTCTACAACGCTAATGATGATGATGATGATGATGATGATATTTGAAACTTCTTTACCTATTAATATCGAGCATTCTACGAACAGAACATTTAAGACAAAATCGAAAACTTTCTTATCAAAATATTGCTTAATTCTTGTACTACTAACCGTGTCGCCAGGGTCCATAACACAATACACTTGCTGCGCATACGAGTAGTTTTATTACACTCTCAGCTCAGAAAATAAATATACGGTGTAACCTTACCTAATCGTGAACAACCTGAGTAAAAGGGAAATAATGCATCATCTGGGCACTCGGAAGCATTCACTTTCAATGCTAGGAAAAGGTAGACAATAATAGAATCTGTGCCCCCTAATTTGTGTTAGTAGGTAATAAATCTTTGCAGTACTATATTTTTGGAAAATTATAAGTAATATCAACAATATGTGATTTCAATATGTATAATTGAAAAGTATTGGTACCAATACGATTTTCTTTTACCGGCTATTCCTTCATATTGAAAATATTTTGTTATTAAACTGTACGTTTAAAAAACAATATAGAGGTGTTTATTATTTGGTAAGTGAGGAAGAATTAAAAATTAATATTTTGAATTATAATCGCGAAACGTTTATGTTAAAAGATTCATCATGACGTTACTGTGAGAGTTCGAGTAATTACTCCAAATGTCTAATTAGTTGGTATTTCTCTAGAGATTCAAACCTCTTTTTATAGATCACTCATAGCAAAATAGTATTGCCATCATTAGATCAAAGCCATAGGTATCACTTGTCATATCCACACAGCAAAGGTACTTTGAATTAAATTGTTTTGCTTACAACAGAGAGCAGGAGACCAAAAGGGCGATTGATGAGGATGGTTCGAAAGTAAAATGGTTACACCAATTACAGAATCATGACATGATAATGGCGATGTGGTTATTTCGCTGAATCGTTTGTACTGCAACTTATTTATTGCAAGCACGTACTTGTTTCAATAAATTTTCCGTGTAGACCCGATCCTCTCTGCCATGTTTTTGCATGTAAAATCGTTCGTAAATAGATCGGATGTGCACAATTAGGACCTGAATTGGCCACACAAACGGCTATGTGGAATGTAGCCCTTCACAATGAACTCGCAATTATCTGGTTTTCACGTGGAAAGCTTTACATAAATTTTTACTTTGCCATTGATTTGAATAACTGATCGAGTAATCTAAGAATCGCTGCATATTTAATGAATATATATGGTGACCAAGGTCGTGTGTAGTTTAGAATAAATAAGTAGGTAGTAAGAAAATGTCAGCTTTAATTTAAGCTTTTTGAGCGTTGGCTCATGCTATATAAATTTCATACGAAAAACTTTTTTTGATAATTTTCACTAATTTTTTTGATACTTTAAATGCTTAAATTATTTTTTATGAAGATTAGCATTCACTCAGAAGTTTTCTGTGAAAATTACCTCATAATTGCGCATTTTTAGAAAACCTCAAACTATATTTTCTCAAGAAGGGCTCGAATGTTTTCGTTGAAAATTTATATATAGGACAATATTTTACTTTTCTTTTATATTCTGAAAGTAATATTTCAATTCTTTGATAGGGAACCGAAAAATTAAGAAAATGTAAACAAATCTTTTGGGTGCAGATGGGTACCAACATTTTCTAGGAAATTAATGTTAAAAGTCACGAAACGCATCGTCAGTGATACGTTTACACCTAGAGGTGAGTCCGTATTTTCGACCACTGAGATGACTGAAGCAGGATCGCTGAAGAAAACATGTAACGAATTGATATTGTGTTAGGATGGAAACGATTCGCCAGGATTATTATTTTGATAACGGTAAGAAGAAAGACAAAAAATATGTAATTACATGAAAATATGGTCTGTATTGTTAAATATTAATCAGCCCAAACAACTTTCTATTCATATTAATTTCCTTTCAATCCTTCCAACTGCTATATAAGAATTACTATTGTTATTTAAACAATTTTTATTGTTTTAACATGAAACGTTTTTAATTATATCATTGTACGCTTATGCTTAAATAAATAGCGCAGACGTACCTTCAACTCCGTTTTCAATTTAATTCCCTTCTCTCATTTACCATTGCTTTAACAATTGCTCAGAAAAGCCACTCATTATACTCCATTCTCTAATCTCATAGAATCAATGAACAAAATAAGGATAGAATCCCATCCGGTTGCATTTTACGAAGGCTCACTTGAGCGAGCATTCGTCCTTGGTTATGTCCTCCGCACCGAACTAAGACGGGCGGGCAGCATCGAGTTGTGATGGGGCCATTATCCGGCCGCTCCGAATTATCCGCCAGCGAGGCCATAATCCCGGCCAATCGTCAACGCGCCTTTCGCCCCCACCGCCGCCGCCGCCACCGCCGCCACCGCCACCGCCACC